CCCTCACACCTCCACCTCTCTGGAGACGTCCGGGGACGTCTCCGAGTGACCCTCCTGTCGCTACCCTCCAGTGGTCATGGCTGGCCGCCATTCCTATTGGTCCTTTCCGACACTCCCCGGCCCTTGGGCTAGACCGACTCCTTCCCTCTCCGCTCCATACCCCCCCTCTCCGTTTCCGGCCGTCACGTCACGGTCACACACCCGGAATCGATTCCGATTCCGATTCCGGTTGTCACGGTCACGGTCACAAGCGGAGACGCCCAGAGGCAGTCTGGACCCCCCGAAGCCCTTCCTGGGCCTTCTAAGGATGCCTGGGCTCTTCCCTTGGCATCATGGTCCCAAACCTGCCTCTCCGGAGCTTCGAGGGCTACTCGACACTCACCTAGGGTCCATTAGCGACACCTGACTTCTCCCATGCGTTGTTCGTCGCTATGCAGTCACTCTATCATTACTCCGGTCACTAGTATATAGTAGTGCACCTGAGCAGAGGGCTCCTTGGCTTGTTCTCTAAGGATTCCCCCTCTGCTCAGGTGAGTCTGTAGCGTCCCTTCCTGTTGTAGTAGTTTCACTAAGGATTCCCCCTCTGCTCAGGACTCTGATTTCGAGCCTCGCGAGGTTGCCCTTACAGCAGAACAAGCCCACCAATACGGACCTCACCTCCCAACTCCCTGCCAGGGCCCGCAGTCTCTGACGCCCCCTGCCGGTAACCTGGAGGTGGCCTCCCGGAGGGGCTGCATGCAGGAGGATTCTTGGTGGATTACGACAGATGGCTCCGTCCCGGCCCCACCCGACCTTGCGCTGCACAGCCCCAGCCCCCCTTCGAACACTTTGGTCCTCGTGAGGCCTCAATACTTCCTCCTGCCCGGCCCTTGGTGTTCTCCTCCGGCCGTGGTTCAGCTTTCCCATGCCCCGCGCCCTATGGCCCCGGGCTGTCCTGAACCACTTCCGGACCCCCTTCCCCCCGATTCCGACCGTGGCCCCGCCTTCCTTCCCTCCACCCATGGCTAATGCTGGCCTCTCCGGCCACCGCTGGTCTGTCCCTAGCCGTTCCTGCTGCCAGCCACCTGTCGGAATGGGCTTCCCCTGCCATGCGGAGCGCCCTGATGGCATCAAAACGACTCCGGATTCCGATTCCGATTCCGATTCCGATTCCGATTCCGATTCCGATTCCGCTTTCCCGCGGTTGTCGCTGCGATGGCTATTATCTCTGCATGCTCCCCCACTCTAACTGCCATCACCATACACCTCGCCTCTGTCTCCAGCACCCCGGAGATCCTTTCCGCTGATGCTGTCATCGACACGAGACCGCTCACACCCCGAGCAAAGGCTTGGCTTCCTTGGGAGGCAAGTCTCCCACACTCCATCACCCGTGTTCCCCTACGCACGTGTCTCCGCGGGCTTCACAACCCGGCCCCGATTCTCATCGGACCACCCGGGTGACCTTCCCTACGTGTCCGGCTCGACGCGTCCAGTTCGACTCTGGACCTTGGGATAACCGCGAGATGGCTGATCCCTTTGATCGGCTTGCGACACCTTGGCATGACACCACTCGTTGCCGCCCCACTAGGTTCTGGGCGTGGCCTACTGCCGTATAGGCCCGTGCCAGATGCGAGACGACAAGTCCGCTCGCCTGGGGCCGCCCTACTAGGCCACGAGTGGCAGGTGCTGAGTCGGAGTGCCGACTTTCCCCCCTCACTCTCCGGAGACGGACTCCACCCCATAATGTCATTCACATGGCATCGGAGTTCATCTAGAACACCCCCCCGGAGACGTCTCATACGTCTCTGGTGTCAACATAGCTGCCCCGGATGGTACCCTTGCCTTAGAGGATCCACCATGGTGTTACCTAGGCAGTCACTGCAGTTCAGGGCTCTGCAGGTGCCCCTTCCGTTCATGGAACCCTCTCCGCTTTCCGCCCGTCACGTCACGGTCACGCGCTCGGAATCGCGTTTCCGTTTCCGGTAGTCACGTCACGGTCACGTCACAAGCGGAGATGCTCAAAGGGTCCCATTGTACAGCCGGACCCCGAACAATGGAATCGCTTCTGGAATGCCTACGTCAATCCGCCTCTGCCGCACAACTAGGATGGGTCGAGCTGTTGCCACCCAGTCCGCAACACTAGGCTTAGTGCCCCGGCTGACAGCGCACTGTCCGGAGTCACACTGCAATTCCTTTCCCCCCCCAACCTGACATCTGGGTGCAGTAAAAGTGAGCTCGCCACTCGCTATGCTATCACCCCACGGCAAGTCATCTGCCGCCCAACGATCTCCAACAACCCAGTAGAGATGGACGGAATCGCCCCTGTGACGTCACAGGCGTTTCCGGTCACGCTCGGAGACGTTTCCGGTCACAAACGGAGACGTTTCCGGTCACAAACGGAGACGTTTCCGGAGGTGTACTTGGTGCTTCTGCTAAGCGCAGACCCCCCCCCTTTTTTTTTTTCTGTGCGTCGGGGCGCCGCACTCTTGAAGGGGGATGGAGGAGGTATAGGAGGGGACTCGTAGAGGACCCTCCTGGAGCAACATGCGACCAGAGCGCAAGCGGGCGCACACCGAAGCTACGCAAAGGTGTAGTTGCACCATCTCTCGGAGAGGCACCGGAACCGCAGGTCTCCGGGGCATCTCCGAATATGGGAGCTCAACCACTGGAGAACGCAAGTACTCCGCAGGTTGACCTTGGCAGCAGCAATCACTGGAGCAACGCCAAGGTAATGTCACACTGGCTCTTGGAGACGGACAGTCTCTGGACGTCGCCGGAGACAGGAGCTTGACCACCGGAGGACAAGGGACTCCGGAGGTCGAGCTCAGTGACCCCCCGATTTTTTTTCCTGCATCGGGGCGACGCAGCTTGAAGGGGGGATGATGTCAGGGGAAACCCTGATGCCGTCACTTGATCCCATCAAGCGCCGCGTCTCCGCTCACGTCTCCGCGTCTCCACTCGCGTCTCCGTGTCTCCACCCGAGTCTCTGTATTCCTGCACCCTGACGCTCCTCCTCCACTTCTCCCACCACATCCCACATCCAGTGGTCCCCAACCTCCAACTCCCATGGCCACCCCTTTCTGGGAGTCTCTCCGGAGTCACCATCAGGGATCACTAATGCCATCGGAGACCTCTCCGGATGTGGCCGCACCACTTTCCTCTGAGACCTCGAGCCTATGGCCTTATAGCCTCTCTGGGCTGTCGCTCATCAAGGTCTCCCTGCAACCTCTACCCGTTGGACCTCTTGGGTGTCCCCAACCTATGTCAGCGTTCGGGCTTACGTTCGGATGGCTGAGCCCTGCCATGGCTCCGCCCCCACTCCGCCACCACGGCCCCCGTCATCGGGTCTTCCTTTGGGTGAGGCCTACTGCCGTTAAGGCTCGTGCCTACTGCAGCGCCCCATGCTGCACGCCCTCACACCTCCACCTCTCTGGAGACGTCCGGGGACGTCTCCGAGTGACCCTCCTGTCGCTACCCTCCAGTGGTCATGGCTGGCCGCCATTCCTATTGGTCCTTTCCGACACTCCCGGCCCTTGGGCTAGACCGACTCCTTCCCTCTCCGCTCCATACCCCCCCTCTCCGTTTCCGGCCGTCACGTCACGGTCACACACCCGGAATCGATTCCGATTCCGATTCCGGTTGTCACGGTCACGGTCACAAGCGGAGACGCCCAGAGGCAGTCTGGACCCCCCGAAGCCCTTCCTGGGCCTTCTAAGGATGCCTGGGCTCTTCCCTTGGCATCATGGTCCCAAACCTGCCTCTCCGGAGCTTCGAGGGCTACTCGACACTCACCTAGGGTCCATTAGCGACACCTGACTTCTCCCATGCGTTGTTCGTCGCTATGCAGTCACTCTATCATTACTCCGGTCACTAGTATATAGTAGTGCACCTGAGCAGAGGGCTCCTTGGCTTGTTCTCTAAGGATTCCCCCTCTGCTCAGGTGAGTCTGTAGCGTCCCTTCCTGTTGTAGTAGTTTCACTAAGGATTCCCCCTCTGCTCAGGACTCTGATTTCGAGCCTCGCGAGGTTGCCCTTACACTCCTGGGCTATTGGTGGCAGCTGTGCAAAGCTGATCTGCCAGGTGGTGTACACACTCAGGGTATACTCCCATGCTGTCTGCTTGGGCACCTGTTTCCAGAACTTGACTTTGTCCTTGTGGTATCTTTCCAGATATTTGGAAGGATCTTGCTGAACTAGAGGATTTTGTGCAATGTAGGAGGCTGCTTGGACTAGTGCTAAGGGAAAGCAGTGGAGCTCCTAGAAAGGATATGGATGAGTGCCACACACCTCAGATATTTTCTCACCTCCACAATATCTATCAGAACACTATTCTCATCCCTGGGAATCCCACTTATGCTTGCAAGTAAATCAAGGGCATCATCCTTTTGTAAACTGGCTAGTTCCACAGAAAATCCTGTGGGCCCAACAACAGTCTTCAAGTCTGTGTTGCGGGAGGTAATGATTACATTTCCATGGTTGCATCGTGGAAGGTATGACCCAAGGTTCAGGTCAGCATTATCTGCATTGTCGAAGAGCACAAGCCATTCATCTGTGGTGGACCGCAGCCAGGTATGGACAGCATCAGTGGGATTAGGCCCTGTCAGCTTTTTGAGTCGGGCAAGCTCTTTGAAAGCGGCGGTGATTGTGGCGGGGTTGCTGGCATCTATCTTGAATTGATCACTAAATCTGCCAGTGTATATATCAAGGTTAGCCACTAAAATGTAAGTATAAACAGGGATTGCCGCACCGCTCTGAATCTGAGTCTGCGATGAACTTGAGAGCTGTCTCCGTTTTTCCGGCGCCGCCGACACCGTAGAGGAGAGCAATCTTCTGTGTCTCCTTGCTTGTGGTGCCGAAGTGCGTTGTGAGCTGGTCGAGCACATCTTGGCGGCCGTGAAAATATGGAGACGGTGCAGGGCATTGGCGAACCGCCGGTTCTGCGCGTCGTTAGGTTCCAAGCTCAGATATGGCGCTCGTGTACCTTCTTCGGCTTTCCTAACAAGTATAAATCATCGGTCCGAGTCAGTGAAGGATGAGGACTACACACATTGGATGCTGGTGGATCACGGCGTTGTCGGCATACACGCTGAGCCGACCGCCCTGGCCCTTTCCGCCTCGCCCGCCCCGGCCCTGTGCAGCCCCGCCTGCGCCGCTCTTCCCGCCTGGATGCTGATCAGCGTCACGCTATTCACTTACCACAGGGGACGTACCGTGCAAGTGTACGTTCATCTCGTAGTGGGCAGCGCTCGCGGGGGCGGGCTCCGGCGCAGTCTGTTCGGTCGCCATCGTGGTTAGGAGCAACGCTGAGTCCTGACACGTTGCGTCCACGCGTATCGCGGAATGATTGGTTCGCCGTGATACGAATCTTCGTTCCTTGTTTCTTCCCGCCACCAGCCTTGGCACGATGCTTGCCGTGCATCGTGCCAGCGAAGCGGCCTATTTCGAGCCCGCGGGCCACGACCTCGCCCCGCATGAGCGCTCCTCGACTCGCACGCTCTGAGCACCGTGAAAACACGCGACAAACGATCCTTCGTGCCCCTTGACGACTAATTGCGGCTCCGTTTGGCTGGCGATCGGCGCTATTTTAAACATATATTTGGTGTCGATCCACGCCTTCCTCTTGCTTTCTTTCCCCGCTGAAGCGGCCGAGGGTGTGTGCGTCCTTCTCTTCAAGCCGCCATCTGACCGGAATTTCCGAATGTATTACAAGGCAGCCTCATACCCGGCTTGTCCTTCGGGACCGTCGCGCTCCCCGCCGGCCCTGCGTCGTCGGACCAGCTGAAGAAGGCGCTGGCGCGGGGCATAGCGCATTTCGGCGCGTCTCTTCGCTCCGAATTTCGGCTGAATGCTGACCGATCCGAAGATATCGGGAACTTCACGCATGCGACGGAGCTGCGCAAGCTGTCTGTTGGAGGCGGGAACGGTGCCGCGGGCGCGCGTGTTCGTGAGCGCGCGCTGGCAGCACGCGACGGAGCCGATTGCGGCGAAGATGGTGGAGCGGCTGTGCAAAGTGGTGCGTGGTTGTCTCCAAGTTTTTTCTGAAGCAGGCGCTGCATGGGCTTCTCTGCAGCTGAATTTTGAATCCCTCGACCTGCTGTTCATGAACGATCCCAAGGTGAAGACGGTGGATATCGGCCCGCGATGGGCGCAAATGGAGAAAGTCAAGACGATGGGGCTTGTGCGGTGCGCAAATAATGACGCCCTTCTTGTTCGGTTCACTGCTTACCTGAGGCGCAGGAACATCGGCGTTATGAACTTTACTCGGGACCAGATCGTCGAGCTATTTATCAAGGCGAAAATACGCCCGGCAGTGCACCAGGTGCGTTCTCTGCCTTCGTTGAAGTTCGTTCTTGTAAAGTCTAATGCTAAAGGCGCGACATTGCAGCTCGTATTCAATCCCTACGCCGACCCGCAAGCGCTTGAGATCGTGGAGCTGTGCCAGAGCCTCGGCATGGTTATCATGGCGCTCGACCTGCTGCCGTGCGTGTTAAATCAGCACGGCCTGAGGCTCCAATTACTTGAGACTTCGCACATGGGCGTGGCCAAACGGCGTGGGCGTGGCGTGGGCGGGCGTGGGACCGTCCGCGGAGACTATCCCCAGTCCTATGACGGCGACCGCGACGCCTTCATCACTGTTATGTGGCGGTCACTTGTCCGCGACACCACGGCTCCAATGAGAACACATCAAAATGTGCTGATCGTCGTCAGCCATGGTGCCAAGACATCTTGGCGAAACTCACTCTTGCCTGTAGTGGACGTTGCCAAGTGTGAATCAGGCCACGGAGGCCAGGTTCAGCCTGTCTCGGAGTCAGCGCTCGTCGGCGAGCTAGCCACGCTGAGAGTGCTTGAGGCCCTCCTGCCCGCCCGTTCCTTCTCCGGGCGCGCCGGGCCGCCGGCGCCACGTTCGCGCTGGCGTTCAAGGTCGGAGGGCATCGTGTCGCTCCCCGGTGTCCTCACCCTTGCTATCGTCGTCTGCGGCGCTGGTTCTGTCGGTCGCGGTCGGGCACCGGACTTCGCGGGGGGCTGGTTGGCGTCGTGGACCATGTCACTCCGGTGGACCGCCAGCCCGCGGCGCATCTCGCCGCCCACTGATGATGGCGCCGTACGATGCTTCAGAGCTCTAAGACGAATCACATCTTGTTGTACATGGAAGCCCACGCCCGTTTGTCCAGCGTGCCAAGCGGGACAAACGGGCGTGCCAAGCCGACCGATGGGCGTGGCACGCCTGATGGACGGGCGTGGGCTTTGATCGTCAGCCAAAACCCACGCCCACGCCCATCCACGCCCGTTGGCGCAGGCCCACGCCCATCGGGCACGCCCGAAAGTGAGCTCTCCAATTACTTGTGGTTGACTCGCAAGCAGACCCGCAACCGCCCTCATGCCCGGCCTCCTCACTGGTCCATTAACCGAAATCGCCAAACGATGTGCCAGCTCAGGCAACAGAATACCTACGTCTCCGGCCCAGGTGCTGCTCGCATGGGCGAAGATCAAGGGCGTCGCCCCGATGTTGTGTGTTTTCTCCCGCCCCTCCTTCAAACAAGTCGTTGGACTGATTATCGGGGCAGAACGAAGATCGAGGACAAGTGGCCCGCGGACATGTTCGAGGTCGCGCACGTCGTCCGTACGTCCTTCTCACGGTAATTCGTAGCCAAGATCTTGTGCTTATTGCTCACAGCTGCGTTCAATGACGGCAATCGACCTCCGGATCATCGACCTCGTCGGGGCGGAGCGCTATCGACGGGACAATGCCGGCGCGGCGCGTGACGCGGCGCTGAAGAAGGGCGCGTTCATGGTGCTGGACAAGGGGGTCGGCGCGGTGGTGAATACAGCGCTAGGGAACATGTAGAAGGACGTTTCTCTTGCTATTCATACCAGTTGAATGATGCTAAGCAGTTACAGAATGCTTCAAGTTCTTTAAAAATCCCCAATGTGCCCTTTGTTTCTCTTCAATCGACAAGGTGTATGGCCACCGCATAGCAGTAATCCGACTCCACATCCAGCCACTCCGTCATCTCCGCCTTCTCTCCCCGCTTATCCTCCTCCCGGCGCGCCCGCGGCGGAGTGGTCATCCACCGCCGCCAGTGTGCGGGGCCCAGCGTGGCGCTGACGATCACCGTTGCCGCCAACGCGAGCATCCCGAGTGCCACGGAGCGTCCCGGCCCCGGCCCCGGCCCCGGCCCCGGCCCCGGCTCCGGCGCTGTGCCAGTGCCGACGGCGACCCGGCCCGGGCGGCGCGTGAGGAATAGGACGAGCGCGCGGCGTAGACATAGACGTACGGCGCGCAGAGGAGGCGCCTATATATTGCGGCCCAGACGGTGCCGCAGGTGCGGCAGCACGCGGTGTAGTGCTCGGGCACGTAGTTGCGTGCGGCGGGGCAGTAGCGCATGGGGGTCCGGGCCGGGTAGATGGCCGTGCGTTCCCGGATAAGCGAGAAGTAGCTCCCAGTGCGCGGCTTGTAGCGCCAGGCGGGGTGGTCGAGCACGGCGGGGCGTGGGCCGGTGCGGGGCCAGGGGCGAGGGGGGCGCTGCATTGAACTTGAAGCCATGTAGCTATGGAGCTCGTCACCGTGTGGTACGCGATGTTTTATACGGCAAGCGTGTGGGTCCGCGCGTGGCGACGAGTATAAGGGAGGTTAGGGCATTGAATGCCACGAACGTCGCTTGGCAACGCGAGAACAAGGACGCGTGCCTGGAAAGAGAACAAGGGAATGGGCATGATGGGATCATGATGCTATCGCGCTGGATAGAGATCAAGTGTTTACAGCTCTAGGTTTCCATTTCGCCTCTTATTTTGATCCATTCATCCTGGACCAGCGCGAGTATACATGGGCTCCCTGACAGGGTAAGTGCACCCCGCCAGCGCCGTTCGACCCGGCCGACGGACATGAGTACTTTGTGATCGTGGGTCTTTTTGCCTTGGCCGACCCGCTTGCTTTTCAGAGAAAGAAACAGAGCATGATATCTATATACAGTCCAGTCTCATTATCGGCCCGATCCAGTTCATCCCACTTCATCCCAATTCGTCCCTATTTCATCTCCCGTTCATCAACCGCGCGTCAGCTCGCCTCCGCCCTCGGCTCCACCGGCGACATCGGTGCGCTCCCGGCCCCCTCATGTGCGGCACCGGCGAACCTTACCGACCTCGCCGGCGACGCCTCGCGCGACTGCCGCCTGCTGACGACCGCACTATTACTAGCCGTCGCGCGCAAGCTGTCCACGCGCGAGCGCCGGCCCGTGCGCTTCGCAAAGGCCGGCGAGGCCGGCTCCGACACGAGCGGCTCGGCGGGGGCGGGCCCGGGCGACGTTGCGGGGCGCACCAGCGGCGGCGGGGCCGTGCTGATCGCGAGGCCGGCGCGGTGCACGTGCACGTGCGACGACACGGTCTTCCGCCCGCCGCCGGACGCACGGCGCCGGTTCGGCGGGCGGGCGAGCCGCACGGAGCGGGGCTTCTTCCGCCGGGACGATCCGCTCGTGCTGTCCTCCGACGCCCAGCCGTCGTCGTTCCCGTTTTCGGTGCCGTTTTCGGTGTCCTTGCGCTGGCTCAGAAACCCGGGCAGCGGCGATTCGCGGAGGCGCTCCTCGACGAGGTCTCCGAGCGCCTTGGGCCCGTATTTCAGGTTTTCCACGAGGCGCTGGCGCGTGGACGGCCCGTCAGACGAGCCGTCCAATGATGTATTTCGCAGGACTTCGACCTTCACCTGAAAGTTTTGTCAGGCACGTGTAGTAGAGAGGAATACGACATACCTCCTCGCCCGGGCCAGCACGCCGCTCGATCACCCGGTGGTGTCCCTCCTGCCACTCCGCGAGGACCGTTTCCCCGTCAGGCGGCGTCTCCCCGCTCCTGCTCTTGCTCTCCGCCGAACTGTTCTTAGCCGTGATCTCCTCGAGCTCCCTCTTATCTAGCGCCGCCTCCAAATCCCGCTTCTCCTCGTCGAGCCGCGCCGCGGGGTCGCGGTTGACCACCACGCCGCTCTCCACCCGTCTCACGTGCGTCATCCAGTCGGGGCCCGCGCCCTGCCCATTCACCGTCGCCGTCGCGGTCGTGTGTCGCGACCACGTGCGGCTCACGCTGTGCACCCTCCTGCCGAGCGAGAACCCGGGGATCGACAGCCCGTGCACCGCGATGCTCCACAGCACCATGAACGCGCAGATCGGCTGGATCGTCTTCAGCAGAAACTCCACCTCGTGGTCGTGCTCCGCCTGGTGGCTCTTCTCGAGGACCTCCGAGGCAAGCGTCGCGATGAACACCGCGCCGACGCCCATCGGCCCGAAGTGCCCCGCGAACACGGCCTCGCGGAACGTCTTGATGTCCGGGATCCAGCGGTAGCACGCGAGCATCACGGGCAGGCGGCGGAAGAGCAGCGTGAGAATCGCGATGATCACGAGCCGCCACACTTGCAGCGTCGTCCCCTCGCCGCCGTTGAACTGCGCGAACGGCATCCACGCGCCGATGTAGACAAAGCACGCGACGTTGAACAGCAGGTCGATCACGCTGGAGAACACCGACTCCTCGGTTTGGCGGTTAAAGAACCCGTCCCAGGCAAAGGCCGCCCCGCACGAAAACGCGCTGAGGAGGTCGTCGGAGCCGAGCAGGGTCGTGAGCCCGATCGTGAGCAGCGCGAGCGAGACATATTGCGCAACATAAGAGTGGCGGTCGATCAACCCGTGGCGCTCGGAGAAGCGCATCAAATACCGAAAGCCAAACCCGAGGAGCGCGCCGATCAGTATCCCGAGGAGGACCTGGTACAGCCACAGCTTAAGGAACCAGTCCTTGACGGCCTCGCGGGGCGTGCGGTCGAGCAGGAGGTAGAGTGCGATGTACAGGAAGGGAAACGCTGCGCCGTCGTTGCAGCCGCTCTCCGCCGCGAGCAGGTGCCGGATGTGTGCGGGCACGTGTTTGTCGGCGTACTTGCCGCCGATGATCGCGGCGGCGAGAATCGGGTCGGTGGGCGTGAGGCACGCGGCGACGGCGAGGGAGGAGAGGAAGGTGAGGCCGGGGGTGAGCGCGTAGATGAACCCCGCCGAGACGAACCAGCCCTGTGGGGACGGGTGGGTAAACGCGGTCAGCGGAGAAGAGAGTGGCGACACACCCAAATCATGACGGGCCCGAGCAAGAAAAACAGGCTCTGCCAGTGGCGCCGCATGTACGCCTTGGGCAGCTCGACCCCGATCGCAAACACCCCGATGGCGAGCACGACGCGCGTGAACTCGAGCGTGATCAGGTTTGTCGTTGCATCTGGCGCATATCAGCCGCATACCCAGCCACAGAAGGGACGACGCACGGTTACCGTTTGCCCACGCGCGCGGGTTAAACACGTCTGCCCCATACGGGCCTGGGCAAGATGCTTGTCAGCAACAAGGGGGAAAGGGAAGGGGGCGGCGCACCGATGGCGACGCCAAACAGGAACGCCCATATCGCCTCCCCGACATACAGCTTCTCGCGCAGCAGCAGCGAGAACATCCCGAACTACAGCCTCGTCAGCGCTCGCCTCGGTCATAAGAAGGGGCACGCACCAGGACGACGAAGCCACCGAGGACGGCATACGCGATGTGCACCGTCGAAATTTCCAGCTGCCGGCCGCCATGAGCGCCAGGAGGGAGCCAAGACAGGAGGAGGGACCCACCGGATCGAACGCCATGTCTCTGTCTCTGTCTCACTCTCAATAGCGAAAATCGCGCAGCGGTGCAGCTTGGCCGGGGCAGTCGGCTTGCTTCTCTGTCTTTCTTTCTCTCGTCCGTCCCTATCTTTTGCAGTCGCAGTCGTCGGGGGAGGCGTCGCAGCGGAGGCGGAGACGGGGCCAAGGGTGGGTGGTGGGGGAGGAAAAGAAGCGAGGCGCCAACCAATGCCAATAATGCCGCGATAACCCCCCTTTTCCCTAAGACTTTTCTGGGGGCGTTTCGTGATAACATGCCTGATACCGAGTGCGAGCGATGTGGAGCGGCCCCGGCTCGGCGGCTGGGCGCTGTGTGCACGGTACCTGGCTTGGCGGCCCAGCACCCCAGCACTCTGCGTCGTCGCTGCGGGGGCCAACGACGGCGAGCCGCGGGCGGTGGACGGTGGACGGCCGGCTCTTGTCGTAAGACGCGTTTTACCTTGCTTGCCGACGTCCCCACGCGGCGACGGGGATCACAGCTTTTCCAGGGAAATTACAGGGAAACAAGGTTTCGGCCGAAGGACGTACGGCATCTGCGGACCCTGCATCTTTTCTTTTGTTGGTTGGTCTGCCTGACTTCGTTCCCAACTCACCACCGTGCGCACTGCACTGAGTTTGAGGAAGAGAGAGAGCAAAAGGGCAGCTAAGCCCAAGATTTTCGCAGCCCCTTGGCGCGGCGCTTGCCCCTGCGCAGCATCACGTTACGGTATGGACCAAGCATCGCGTCAGGCACACGTCACCAGCCCGCGGCTTGGCGCACGTGTGTTCGGACAGCAGACCTTTATCTGGAGGTAGTCTCGTACCCAGACGTTCTTTCGAGAATCGCTCGCTGCGCGAGCAGAGTCCTGCGGACCGGTACACGTGACTGATTGGAGATTTTGATGCAGGGATTCTCTCTAGAACGTCTGGGGCAGTTCGTATCAGAAATAACAGATCCTGTCACATCAATTTTATCTTATGATTATCGACCCATCAAATGGGACCGCAAATGGCTGATGAGACCCCTGAGTGGTCTCAAGAGTTATTTGCAATGAAAAACACCCTATCTAACCCATGTCTGAGCTCACCGACGAGGACTGGGCCTCTCTACTCGGGGAAGATGCTATACCTGGCCTGAACGATGCAGATGAGGACTCCAGTGATGAGGAAGACTCTGATGATGATGATCCTATGCCCCTCCGCTCACAGTCCCCAACCATATCGGAGGAGCCTCCAGCACCAGATAACACACCTCAGCGTGTCAAGCAGGCCCTCGCTCATTTGTCTGACCTGGGGCTCGACTTTACAACATTTGTGGATGCAGTTCTTTGGGGAAATGAAGCCTGCCGTCGTGACAGCATGATTCGCGGCACTCGTACAAACTTTATGAACAGTCCAGCATTTCCAAATATTCTCACTCGACTATGGGACCCACCTCGGGCGCAGAAAGACCGACCGGCACGGCTGGTGATGGAGAATTTTGTGCAGCAGGCATGGTCAGACTTGTTGGTCCGAGAGCTCAATGGATTAGCATCATTTTTCTCGTCCAAGAAGGGAGACGATGTGACTGTCAAAGCCCTAACAAGCCTCAACTTCAACAAGCTTACAGCAGAGGTTCAAGAGAAAGCCCCTCATCTCTGGAAGGCGCTTTTGACGCTCGCAGTGTCAGAAGATCAGAAGCGGAATACTCACAAAAATCCCTCAAAAGTAAGTCTATATGCATTACCCGAAATCCATTTAATGATTTGTAGACAATCGTGATGATTCTTGCTATGCTATCGTACTCTCGTTCACACAAACGGAACCTCTTCCAAAAAGCTCTCTCCGTTTATGCCAAGTTTCGAGGGTTATCTGCGAAAGCATTCGAGGCATTTCATGCAATGGGAATCCTGATGTCCTATAAGTGGACAACAGACTCGGTTGAGAGTATTTCGAAGGCGTCGATGGAGGAGGTGGTTCAGCTGTTGAAGGTCTTCCAGTGGATCCTATCTTATGATAACATCCAGCTGGCATTCCGAGTCTTTTCTCAGCGGCTCGATAACCTGGGCGAATTCGGGAGTGGATGTGCCGCTACAGTGTATATCAAGAAGGGCCTTTTACCTTTTCCTCCAGAAGTCAATCGCGCCTTTCAAGTCCATCGAGCAAAAGGGAATGCTGAATCCAATCACTGTCGGTGACGTTCTTGAATTGTCTCAAAAGCATCAAGCATCTATCGAAGCTCGCATGATCTACCACACACTCCAATTCCTTCTCCAAAGCACCGACTTTAACCTCGGAGCCTATCAGCACCGCGAGAGCGAAATCCTCAAAGCTCCCGATTGGCTAGACCCACTTCCCGCAGGCAAAGAGCATACTGCATCACAGTACCTGCTTGGTAGCGTCAATATCACCGAAACAAGTTACGACGATCATGTCAAACTCATTGTGGAATGGCTGAAGCAGCTCGGAATTGAGGTACCTGAAGAGCAGAAGAAGTTGGGATTAGAGAAGCTGATTGCCTGGTGCGGAGACCAACTGACCATCGATCGCCTTCGAGGCCTTTGGCGTTTCCGAGCTGGAGATTCGAATTCATTTGATCGTCTTGACTGGATGCTGACAGTTTTTGGCTGGTTTCATCTTCAGATGGCTTACGCACAGTCAATCTTCAAGCAATACCTCGGAACTACCAAAGGCGAGGGCTTGCGAAAGGCTTTCTCCACGTTGAAGCGCCGTGGCCTCCAGACAGCCTCAATCAAAGGCCCATTCCACCAGTCTCTCGAGGAGGCCATCTACCATGTCACCGAAGCCCATCTTCTCGTTGAATGGAAACGAGCGGGACAAGTGTCATCATTGCGTGAGCTGCAAAGCAAGTCTCCGACAGAGCTGAAGAAGATGGCGACAACAATAGTAGCTGAGCGAGCATCCACGGATGCTCTCAATAAACTCGCATTTGAATGGGATGACGACAAGGCAGTGATCGACGAGGGCCTCCGCCAGTCGATTATGTATAATCGGGATGCATTGCAGTATATCGTGCTCGACGAAGCTATCAAGAATGGCGATGTCGGGATGATGGAGGCACTCTTGCCAACACTACTCTTCCGCTTCATCGGTGGTGGGAACAAAAAATACCAGGTTGAAGTCTTGGAATTGCTCCAGGGACTCGAGCGAGAATGGACACTGGAAGTGAAGTAAGCACAAAGCGATGGTTGTTGTCTGTGCATGCTGAAGTCTTACAGGCAGTTTATTCGCGAAAATTGCTGGGTCGTCAATTTTGTCGGTCGTCGCAACTCCCATGTACCTATCGACCAGGCACAAGAGCATAACATCAAGGATATCAAGGTAACATACCGCTCCGAGGGCTTCAAGATCAACTGGTCGTACTTGAAGAAACTCCATCCCGCTATACCAGTCATTCGGGCTCTCTGCGAACACATGGAACATGAGTTCGGGACAGATACACGAGGCAAAAAACATTCCGCACCACGAAAGGATCAAGATGTTGCTGCACTCCAAAAGTTGTTTGAAGACTCAACGCTCCATGAATATGAGGCAGGCCGTAAAATCACAGGCAATGACAAGTCCGTGGACTACTATGAAAAGGGTCAATTGACATGGACGGAAGGGAAGGTGACAGAGAAGTGGCTCGACGGCCGCAACTTTGAGAGATCGACAGCTGAGCTTTGGAATTGATCGCATTTGGTACTGGAAAGTGTAATGAAGAAACTATACATTAGTCGTTGGGCTTGAATTGACAGTGGCGAGAGCGAGAGCGTAATTAAGAGCAGGTAGTGGAGTGGGATTGGGTCGAGAATCAAGATGAGACGGGGAAGGTGTAAAAAGTGATAGCGATGGCGTGAATACACTTGTGGGACCCTGAACCCAATGAGTGTTGACTTTCCCAAACCAAATGATTGACCTACCGGTGTTTGAAACAGTTGCAGTGGTTGGAGTGCCATACGCTGAGTCTGTGACCGCAAGCGGAACAGGATTTCATTCTCTTGACGCTGCTCCGCTGCCGCAAATGCCAACCTGTTCTCCTCCTCGATTTCCTGCTGCGTCTTCTTGAGTCGCTTTGACTTCTGACTTGCAGGTGCTGCCAGGGTCTGCTGCACCAATTTCGTCTTCTTGGCACTCGCGCGCGATGCAATATACTCAGCGTCACACTCATGAACCACCTTCAACAAACTCTCCCCATACTCGTTTGCAAAATGCCAACGCGGATTGAGTGCTCGGAGATCGTCGATGCTTTGTACTCGTCCATGTGTCGCGATATACGTGACAATCTTGTCCGGAAGTAAGACTGCGGCGGTGAAAGGACATGAATGTGTCTCGTAAACAACGCGGCGACGCCATTTCTCCAAAGCCTTTCGGACTGTTTGGAGGAACTCGTCTCGCCGTGTTGCTGGCACCATGCCTGGCTTGGCGCGTGGCCGCATCGCTCGTTTGCCGTTGCTGTTTTGAGTTTTCGATGGTGTTAGAGGATCTTGGCTTGGTGCCTCGCTATCGTCTGGCGGTGGCGTTGTTGATCGTGGTGCAGAAGAACTTGGGATAGGATTTGACGCCTCTGGTGAGCAGCGATCACAACATAGCCCAGTCGGTGCTAATTGATAGTCAGAAAACATTTGAAAAATGGTGAAAAGAAACGGACCTTGGCGATTAGACGGGTTGTTATAATAGCGGTCGGAGAAATCGTGTTCGCATTCCTCCGCCTCAATCCACGCTCGCATAACGGGGTCAACCTTCTTTGCCCACTCTAAACCATCGTCAACCTCGCCCTTTGCCCCACTGGTTGCTTCGTCAACACCAGAGTCCCCATCTGTTTCATTTGCAACTCCATCCGCAACATCTTCCGTCTGTCGTATTTGAGAGCCACTGCCCTCAATCTCGTCATCATCACTGCTATTGGAAACACGCCCAACGAGATCAATCTCTTCCTCTTCCTCGTCACCCTTCTTCTTCTTCTTGCGAGGCTTTTGTCGCTGGAACATCTTTGCCTCTGCGAGAAGGACGGCACGAGCATTGATCTCGGGCCGTCGACCCGCACGACCAATGCGCTGTTTGAAGACTGAAAGCGACGGTGGAGCGCCAAACTGGATGGCAAGCTCGATATCGGGAATGTCTGCACCCTAAAGGCAGCGTCGAGTAAATAGTAGCATGGATAGAATTTAAGAATAGACTTACCATGCCTGCTGCTTCAGTCGCTATGAGAACTCGGATAGCTCCACTGGCGAAAGCATTCATGACGCGCCGTTTATCGTTCGTGCTGCGTAATGCGTGCAGGCACTCGATGCTCGACTTGATGCCAGAGCTGAAACGACTACAGAGGTAACGATGTCCTCGCTGCGTAGCCTTGAGTGTGTTGGTAAAAATGATGGTTTTGGGGATATCGGCTGGTTTCGTAGCGTGTAGTGGTAGGAATTTGTCAAGGGCTGCATAGTCTTGAGCACCCTTCATTCGATGGACAGACGTTGAGATATTGGGCCGGTCGTTGCCCAAGTTGAGGTGGAAAACATCGTCGGGGGAGATGGAGAGTTTGTCGAAAGCAGCTTTAATATGTGTCAAAGCCATCGTTGCTGACAGAAGTAGAACGGGGGTGCGTGGTTTGAACAGCGGCCGAAGGGAGTCGAGTAGCGCGTAATGAGGACGGAAGTCGGGACCCCACTGCCTGACACAGTGCGCTTCGTCGACAGTCAGGTTGCCGACTTTGTCAGCGATTGCGCGAAGGGCCTCGCGAAAGCCTTCGTGTTTGAGGGACATCTCGGGGCCAGCGAAATGGCCTGGTATCTGCCTTCAGATAGCTCCTGAAGTATGGATTAGACGAAAGAAAAATATAGTGCTATATACACGCACCTGTTTGAGCCTTGGATTTTCCTTCCATGTTTCCTCGTTCACAGCAATCGCCGAAATCCCAATTTTGTTGAAACGAGCGACCTGAGAGCCATTAGAGACGAGTGCAGCTTGAAAAGAGTGAGCAGACGCACCTGGTCGGCCTGCAGAATCTTGAGCGGCGATATTATGAGCTCCACCCGAGTTTTGTCCAACAGCAACACCAGCATCGCAGGAATCGTCTTCCCAAACCCAGTACCAGCGATAAGGAGGGTGTCTAGGCGGAGGAATATGGCCTCAGCAACATCAAGCTGCCATTCGTGAGCAGGCTTGCCAAATGCCTTCGTAAACTTGTCTTGTAGCTCGTCTCGTGTTTTCTGTGAGTCAAATTTCCGTTTCTTTTTCGCACGCCGTCGAGCCTTATTGAGTCGTTGATAGGACGCTTGGCGGACGCGTTCGTAGGGGCTGTCCGCCGGTGGGACGGGAGGGGTCGACGCGTCGGGCAGTTTGTGTACAAGATGATTGGATTCACGGGGTATGTCACATCACTATTTCCTAATTCGTGAGGATCTGTTACTTCTGATACGAACTGCCCCAGACGTTCCGGTCGCCATTCCTGCACATCAACCTCCAAAACTCACGTGCAGGATCGGCGAAAAACCGGAACGTCGGGTTTCGAGACTAATCTGGAGGAGGGCTGACGCGGACGTGCCATCTGTGCACACAGCTGTTCGATGCGGCGCACGTCCCTTTGAGATGATTGTCTATGCCTTTTTCTCAAAATGTCCAGGAATTGTGATACATAAGTATTACAAGTCCAGCTCAGACAGAAGATGATATGACATATGGTGTAGCAAGTATTTCCTATATATTTACATGAACCATATCTGGCAGTCTGCAGACCCTGTCCTGTTTGTTAAATATGTTAATCAACATTGTCATTAGATTTCCATTTCTATTATTAAATGCAATGGTCATATTAGCCATACTGGAAGATTTTGTTCAATTTGTATGTCACCTGTCACATAGTGTCAGCGTCAGGCTTGGGCCGTATCAGGTCGTCGGGGCGTCCAACTACGAAGGGGTCTGAGGAGCACAAAGGAGGGTTTTTAGCCTGGAGAATCGATGATATTAGCCGAACAACTATGTTCTATAGGTACAGCTTTTATATGCTAGAGTATTAGGGAAAAGATCGGATGGGCACTAGGTCCCAGGGCAGATTAAATAGGCGCTGCATAGGGCCCGTAGGGGTAAAAGGGAGGAGTTGGAAGAATGGGGGACTGAGGAGTATGGTAGGACGTTGGGCCCAATTGGGCCCAAGCGGCCCTGCAGAGGGGGGAGCCCTATTGGCCCAACCCAAACTGTGACACATGGCCGATTCTATATGAAATTTTTTGTATGTCATAACAAAAAGTGAATTTTGGCTTTTTCAAAATGGTAATTTGGCAGAATTCCCACGCCTTTGGCATGGCAAATTACCCAATTGGGAAGATAATACAAATCTTTTTGGACATCAATATATCACAGCCCCAAAAGCCATTTGAATGAAATAAAATCTTATGGTATGGGAGAATATATATAATATAGTGCACTATTCACACCGCCGGCATTCCATTGCCTCCCGGAATTCCGGGAGGCTACGGGCACCTGCAGCTCATCTGTCAGGCACCTGCCTTGGCGTTGCAGCTTAAGCCACAAAGAAAATCTCTTTCAATGAAAGAACGGCCCTTCGGCCCTGGACCTCCGGCTCGGGACACCGGTGTGACGTGAGAATTTGATAGAACCATGGAGATTAGATCATCCAATAAAAGCCTGTTCTGCCGTTCTACAGCCTGAGTTTCCGCCTCTGTCCCATGAGCACCCAGCTTTGCTTCTGTGAAAGCTGCCAGCCTGATGGGCAACTTTTGACCAGACAAACCTATGCAAAGCATACCAAAGCTCAGCAATTAAGGGATTCTCTGGCTGAAGCCCAATCAAGGTCTAGAAATCAAGGCAGGCATACTGGCAGGGCTAAAATAGGCAACATGGAGTCTCAATCAAGTCCTAAAATTGCTAATTCAGCTGTCCCCCCTTTGGCCCAAGTACTTGAGACAGTGGAAATTCCACCTGAGGTTTTTGAGAATGGTAAGCAAAATAAAGCAGCTTGTATAAATATTCTGATTAAACAATACTAGCACTTCAACCTATAGGACAGTTATCTATCCTGTTGGTTCTATGGCTCAACCTCTCAATGGGACTTAGCCGTGATGCAGCAAATAAAGTTCTGAACAGCTTAGGCCTGATTTTATTCTTAACTCTAGAAATAATCTGGAGTGTTCTCAAGGCCTCTGGAATAAATTTGCAGATTCCTCATATTCATATTCCTAGGGATATACGAACAGCATATAAATCTTCTTCTGAACCTGAAATTGAAAGAACAATCTGTTGTTTAGAATGCTTTTCTATGTATCCACAGGGAAAGGGACAAATCCCTAGGAAATGCTCATATAGACAATCACCTCAATCAGCCATCTGTGGCACCCCTTTATTCAAGTCTATCAAGACTCTCTCTGGTACTAAAGATATTCCTGCTAGGCAATTCACCTCTCAGTCATTTGATTCCTTTCTATCATTTTTTCTATCTCGTTCTGTTATAGTTACAGCATTACAGCAATCTGCAACAGACAGTGCCAATAGGATGCTTAATGGATATCCTGCTGTTATGAAGGATGTTAAAGATAGCCCACTTTGGAAGAGCTTAGGAAACTATGTTCTTGGACCATACAACCTTGTTTGGTCAATGTACATTGATTGGTTCAATCCTTATACCAATAAGATATCAGGTAAGAGTGCAGTTAATATATATAGCAATTCATATTCATGGT